TTTTTTTACATGTTAATGGTGTGACCTTTACAAAACCAAAAGTGATTTGAAATTGAAAATTTGAAATTGATAAAAGATTGCTCCTGTTAGAGGATGTGGGACTTTACAGAGGTGTTTATTCATATCAGTTAATTAAGTTGGCAGTAATTGTATTTTATGCAATTTTAAAAATGTTTAGGGCTATTTTTAATAGTCTTATCTGGTGAAATATATGTTGTTATGGGTTATTGTGTATGTGAATGCATGAAAATGTTCACTGAAGTGGTGTATCGAGCTGAGCTTAAATGATGTAGAATTTTCATGGGTTTATTGCTGCATTTCTAGCTATACTTACAACTTCAGGTAAAATTTATGAAGATACTCTGAAATTTCATGGGGTGTAGTACCCATTTAAAAAGCACTTCTGTAATATTGTATGTTTTTCTGATTCTCAGTTTAACATCAAAACAGTTTTGCAGTAAAAAAATATAGTAAATAATTTGCAGAATTCTATCTGAATTAATATGAAATAATTAATTCAGAATATCTGTGTACAATAATAAGAACAGGGTGCTCCTTGCTGTGCTGTTCATTCACAGTTGTTTCTTCATGCTGCCACCTTGGCAGCATGTATTTGATTTTGCTCTGAATAACAGCAGAATCAGCTGAGATGCCGCAATTTGAAATTAACTTCCAGGGAGCGATGACAGTGGCCTGTCAGGCCGTGCTAATTTTTTTATGTCACCCTGAAAGAAATAAATTTAAAATAAACAGCATTTTTCTAGTGCCTGACTGTGCTTTGTTTAACATATCTCAGAGTAGCATTTTCTGATCTGGCCACAGTAATGTTTTTAATCAGTGCTGTCATTAATTTGGTTACAGGTAGAGATAGTCTTTTTGGAATGAATGAATACTTCAGCTTTATACTTGAACTGCTTAAAGGAGATAAAAATTTTAGACCTTTTTAAAAGAGAAAATCTGACTAAAAAGTGAATTGTATAGGTAGTTACTGTGAACAGACATATCTTACTGAGATTTTTTGGAGCAATTGTCTAAAGTGTAGCATTGTACATGTTTAGGAAGATGTTAGAGAAAATAAAAATTATGATAATAAAACTTATGATTGTTGTTCTTTCCAGTGAAAATGGGCTCTTAACCCATTTAATTTTATGATTAAATAATGAATGTCTATCAGCAATTGTTTAGCATATGAGATAAATGTGTGTCAGTGTGGACTGTATCTGGTAGGACTGTATATATCTGGCAGTCAGGAAGTGAGGCGTTTGGTTGTATAATTTTTGCTTTTATTTTTCTATTTAATCATTTCTCAACTTGCAAAACAAGAAGGCTGATGCTCTTTCTGTAATGTGTGGTATTTTAAACCTCAAATGTCACCCATCCCCTTGCCCTTTTAATGAATTTGAGCATTCTGTGAATGCCTATGAGTCAGAGAGCAGAGGAGAACTCTGTATTTGCTTCACTTAGTGAATTTAAACAAAAACCCCTAAGGTTATTGACTATAGCAAACACTCACTTTCTGGATTTTGGTATAAATCATTTAGAGGTGCAAGCATTTACTCAGGGTTTTAAGAGAGCCTGATGCTTGGGTTCAGCATGCATGCTGTAGGTGCCAATGATCTGAGGTAGAAGCATGGCCTCCCCTTCCAGGTGAGGGATCTGCCTGTGCACTCGCCATACAGAGGGTTTCTGGGTGTGTCTCTGGTTGCACACACCAATGTCAATGCAGTGACATGTCCAGTTTGCACCTTGGACTGTTACCTTGGGCCTCCTTTAGGGTGAGGAGGGTGTCTGTGATGTGGATGGACCGGAGGCTGGGATTTAATACAAAATAAATCTTTTGAATGTAAACGGTCAGGAGAGGTGGTTGTAACTTGAGCTTGATTCTGATCCTGTGTGTTTCTCGTGGCAGTCACATACAAGGGGGAAAGGCTGTTGCCATTCAGGTGATGATTTGGGTTTTGCTTACTTTTTTCATGTAAAAGCTCAGAAAGTTTACAGCTGGTGCAGGCAGAGGATCATTGTAGTAAGAGCTACTTCCAAAGAAGCAATCAACCACCCTAAAAATCCGGCAGGGAGAAGTGCTCCTGTGTCCCTGTGCTATCCTTGTATATGCTGAGGCTGGCTCTGTGAGGGTGCAGGATTACTTGTGTTCCATTTTGTCTCCTGTCTCTGTTTTTGTGTGAGTACAGTGCGATCCATAATTGAAATAAGATGCCCTTGAAAAATCTGCTAAGGATTTGTGTCATGATTGACGACAAACGTGTTTTGTTATATTTGGAAGATGTAGTTAAATATAACATAGAATGAAAGGCAGAAGTGAAGTAATTTTCCTTGTTTGAGGAAGCTAAGCAAGAATTTGTTTCAGTTCTGCTGGTAAGGAAGATGACACTAGAAAATAGTTAAATTCTGTATTTATTAAGTTCTAATGAAAACTAGACCATACATGAATATACTGCTTCTTATTACCTGAGAGGGACTGTGATTATTGTATTTTATGATGAAAGTTATATTACTGAAAGAACAAATGTTAGCTTCTCCCCCTTTTGTTTTTCATTATGTTTTTAAACCTGTTACAAAACATTGGAGTTCAGCACATTAAATTCATTTGCTGCTAGGAAAATGGCACATTGTTGCTGAAGGACACAAAATGATTCACACGAATGTCTCTCAGTGTTAGAACAGGAAAAAAGGCCACTTTATTCTCTGACTCCAGTATTTATAGATTCTTGACAGTGACCAGGGACTGGATAATTAAGTTACCACCTTCCCAATCACACTGGTCATGCAAAACATCCATCAAAAGACATTTCTTAGAAGGAATGTGATAAACAACTTATGTTTATAGAACTTTCATGGGAAAGTAACTAAAACTATGAAAACATTATCAGGAGGCTTTAATTTGCAGGGTGACAGCACATTTTTTATATAGGAGCTGAATCTTAAATTACTGTGTACCATCAAATCATGTAGTACCTTTCCTCAAATCACTGATCACATAATAATAGTATTAGTTTCTGAGGGAACACTAATGTATTAAACAGTTAATGTAGACTTTGTTTTTTCTTCATTTGGTAACACAGAAAAAATGAGTTACACCATATAGTTCATCTTGCTTTCAGCACTTCTATAAAGGCTGAAACATACTTTCTTTGATGCACCACTGACTTTTGGTAAAATGAGGTAAGAAAGCTCCATTTTCTGTCAGGAGCCAACCAGATCCTAGCATGATTCCACTGTCCAGTTTTGAATTTCTGTTCACATTGCAGATGGATGTGAAACTTCAACCATTGAGGCTTTCTGGCATGTACAAAACATTTGTTCAGCTAGAAAATGAGTGGGGAAAAAGAGCCAGCAGTGATGTCCAGATGGGAGCCCACTGGAGTGCTGTGAAGCAGAACACCTGGTGTAAGGAGTAGGGGTTGTCCATGACCCTGTGTCTGGGTGCAGGGCACCTGTGCGAGTGGGCATTGCAGCTTTGTTGAGGACCACCACTTCCAAGATCTGGATTCTATAATGCTGATGTGCTGTGAGATGAAATGCTGTGATGTTAGATGAAAAAAAAAATAAAAATTGCAGACTATTTGCCAGTAATTAATTTGATATTTTTGGAAAACAGTCAACAGTTTGTAAAATTGTAACTGTTTCTTAACTGGACTTATTTCTGGGTACCAGAGCTCATGCCTTCAGCAGTAGCTGCAGGCTGCTCCCAGATGGTTACTAGCAGTGGGGAGGACCTTTTTCCAGCTGTAGAACCTGCACTGATAGGACACTGCATGAAGGGGTTCTTGGGATCTGTATGTTCAGTCAGATCTCTTGACAAGATGGAAAGACTTTTGCATTGCTTGCTGTCAGTATTGTTTCTGAATTATATGCTGTGAATGTTGTTGTTCAGTATAATTAAAGTGGTGTGGGGTTTGTTTGTTTGTGTGTTTTTTGGTTGTTGATTTGCTTTTGGGGTTTTTTTTTAATGTGGCTTTGTTAGTTTTTGTTTTTTATTTTTGTTCTTTTTCTAGACCAGAGTCACTGCTGAATGAATTGTTCTGTGCAGAAATGCAAAGATAGAATAAAATAGAATGAGGTAGAATGGTTGAAGTGTAACTGTCAGTGTGTTACTGGTCTGCTGGGTAGCTTCAGAGATCACATTTGTTCAGCTGCCTTGATAAGAAATTCTGTAAATTGCAAACTTGAGGAATTAAACATCACAATTTTCTGTGGTGTCACTGTTTCTGAATGCCTATTTAATTTAAAAGCAGGAGAGGTGATGTTGGGAAGAACCGTAAAGAATCAGTTTGATTCAGAGTCCATACGAATAAAATTTATTTTTGTTTGCCTCAGTTTTAGCTATCTGTTTTCTTTAAATATACATGAATTAAGCTTTGCAACAGGGCTGGTAAGATCCTGCTGATTTCAGTGAGGCTTGACATGGTCCACTAACAATGTAATGTATTTATGTTAGTGTCATTTTGAAGTTTATCATGAGCTCATGAATATCTTTCCTCTCGCTCACTTCTCTGGAATTATTAGACATACAGCTGAAGCATTGGCCTTAGTTACTTTTGTGGTAATTGGATTAACAGTTCAGTACACAATGCCGAGGTCTCTTTTAGCTGAAAATTGGGAACAATGCTTTTCTGGATGGTTACAAAGTGTTTACAAAGTGTATCCTATTGATATCCTGCTATATAGGAAAGATTACTAATACATGTATTAGATCTATAAATAAATTTTGTTTTGTTTTCAGTAGTAGTATAGGATAGGGCATTAATCTATACATATATGCATTTTAAACTAGCTGCATAAAATTGACTGTAGATACTAGAAATGCTTTAATAACTTTTCTTTCTTATCAAAAGTGTAAATTTTTTTAGTCATTTCTTGTTGATTAATAGACTGTAGGAGATTGTGTTAAAGTATGTTGTTACAATAAAATGCTATTAAAAAAAGTTGACCCGAATCTTGCTTTTGTCAGTTTTGTGACCTTTATATTTCTTTCTCATTAGAACTATGCAGCACTGATCCAGCAACAAATTAATGAGGACAAACAAAACTTGAGAGAAAAGGCTGTATATGGAATCCAGCTGACAGAAGAAAAACTTAATGACTTCCGTGATGAACAGATTGGGCAGCTGAAGGAACTGATGGACGAGGCTACCAAACCTAATAAAAACACCATTTCTAAAGACTCAGAACACAAAACTTAAAAGATTGAAAAAATTATTTTAATGCATATGGAAGTGTTTTGAAACTGCTTTTTCCAGTTGTACATGAATGTGGTTTCTGTAAGATAATGGACACTGCTGATGCTATAACTTGTCAGAAAAGGATGTGTTTGGCTTTCTGTGCAAGAATAAATGGAAAAATGGAATAATCACAACACTTTTATGTTAATTGCATTATTTTTTTTCTTCTTTTTTTCCTCCTAATGGATGTTGAAGACAAAGAATTTGGGAAAAGTAAATTCACATTTTTAAAATATGTAGTTATTAGTGTTTCTTGTTTTGTAATCTTGGCACCTGTAGAGCAAAACATCTTTCTGTTTGTCTGTCATCCGCTTCCTTAATGGAAAATTTGCTATTAGCATTTATTTTCCGTGGAGGTCAAAGAAACAGCCAGCAGAGAGCTTGCTGCACTCCCTTGGAGAACTCATCTGTAATCCACAGACCCTGCTGTTCTGGAGAGCAAAATTTCTCCCCCAGAGACCTTTGCAACCCTATGTTAATCCCTGGTTCACCGTTGGTTCTTCCCTTTACTCTCCACCCCCGTGCCTGCATCCCATCGGTTACTGGTTTCTCCCTGTCTCTCACCTTCCCTGTATCTAGCGTGGTTTTTCCCCAGTTGAGAGAGCTTCTGTGCTGGCTCCCTCCACAGAGGGCCCTGCTCTAATAAAGGCTGATTTCTCTGTGGAATTGCTAGCCAGAGCTCCAGTCCTTTCTTCCTTGCGTTGCCTGGGAGAAGCTGCTGCTGAGCTGGACATTGCTCGCCGGGCCAGGAGAGGGATGTGCCTGTTGCTCTGGGAGCCGTCCTTCTCAGGACGCTTCTTCCGGAGGTCACGGCACTCCTGCCATCCCGGCCACTGCAGCAGTTGTCTGGTGAGGATTGAGTAGACAAAGGAAAGGTACTAGAGTGGGTTTGTTTTCATGGAAAGAAATGGGCAGTATTAGATAAGCATACTGCTGGTGAAATTAGAAGTTTGCTTTCTTCTTGAGCTAATTGTGAAAAGTACTTTAAAATAAAAGATGTAGCTCATAATTAAATTAACCTTGAATCACTCTTACGCAGAAAATTCTGCATTTTTTTCAAAGCTAAGTTCAGATTATTGTTAGTATGTAAAATTTTTAACAACCTTTCATGAGTGGGTTGTGCTGTAGTTTGAATTGTTTGAATTAAAAGGTTCTTTAAAAACTTGGGATCCTATATTATGAAATATTTTGTACAGATCAGGATTTGTAAATGATCACAGAAATTCTGTTGATAATACTATATGATGAACATTATGAATTTATTTCTAATAGGTTAAATCTTCAGTAAGACAATGTGTGCTTGTTGTAACATATACTATTGGAACTAAAAAAAAAGGGGGGGTTTATCTGTTAAGAAAAACACACCCCTTTCTGTGCAAAAGGCAGCTTTAATTTCATCTTCCAAACCTAGTTTTATATTATTAGTTTTGTTATATTTCTGGACCTTTCTCTGTCTGTTACCCACAGCACATTCAAGGCAGCAGAATTTCTTTGCTTTTGTGGAATAACAGGTTTGACAAGGAAGCACATTTCCATTTGTCTCAATTTGTAACAACATGCTGTTTGCCAGAGCTGCGCTCCTGGATCGTAACAGAGTGGGGAGCAATTTCAGGAGCAACCTCTTTTTTAATCCTTTACCTCTTTTCCCAATTCTTTGATGGGATTGTGGGCTGCAAGTTGCTCATTTCTACTAAAAGTTCACTTGCAGGATTGCTGTGTGAGAGACATGTGGTTGCTTTGCTCCATCTTCCTCTGGCACCCACCGCCTTGTATGTGCAGTAGGAGCATGCTGTAACCTCAAACACCCAATGCAAACAGGATGGAAGGGCAGAGATGGCATCCAGGCTGCAGGGCTGTTCACAGGTCCTGATTCTTGGTGCTTCAGGGGCATGGTTGGAGAGAATGGCAGCTCCTTCCTGGCCTGCTCCATACCTAGGATGCCCCAGCATCAAAGTGGGAAGCAAATGGCATGTGAATATAGGAAACTTGAAAATTGTCTCTGATACTGCCATTCACACATTCCTAAAGTCTTGTTCTTTTTACAGTTTAAAGTCTGTAAAAATCTAATCCAGCTCCAGAGTTTAGGGCATAAAGATTTATTTTGTTATAAATAATTTGTTATACTTCCATCAGATGTAATCAGCAATTCCATCACTAAATCTATTTGGTTTTCATACCAAAAGTAATTTTTATGTGTTGACAACAGAGTTTGTTTCCAGTACTTGATTGGTAGTAGACCTGCTTTCCAGTCAGTATCCAAGTTGCTTCAAATTCATTTCAAATACTGCAATTTAAAGCATCATTACTATTATCAATATATTTAATGGCACTTCATAGTTCAATTAAACTAGTTAAAATACTTGTTTTGCATCTGTCTACTCATGTATGCACCGAGATTTTTGGAGGCTAAATTAATTAATAATGAAAAAATGCTATATGGTATGAAAAACTTAAGCTTGTAACGAGACCTAAAAGGAGTTGGAGTCAAGGTAAACATTTTTACATGCACAACCCTGTTTCTAGTAAATCCAACTGTTTTTTCTTTCATTCCTAGCAGTAGTTTGTATTTGGTACAATATTTGTATTCTTGTCAAAAATGACTCTCACAAAAGCCAAAATTCCATTATGGGAATGAAGCATCTTTCAAGATTGCTGGCTTTAAGACAGGCAGTGCTAATAGTAAGGTGTGCTCTGGTCTGAGCAGGGCTTACGCGAGTGGTGGGGCCCCACAGAAGCTTTGTGATGCCAACACTGCCATGCATTAAAAAAATTCTTTGATTAACAAGTGTGGTTAGTGACAGTTAAGTTGAGGAAAACAGTGTGGTCACAGAAAGAGAGTGACACAGATGCTGTTTCTTTAATTTCTGGGATTTTTTAAGGTACAAGACACTTCTGTGGGTAACTTTACACTTGGTTTGAAGGACAATGAACAGAAGAAAGCATCCATCAGAAATGCTTCAAAACTTCAAGCAGTGTGCTATTTCAAATGGCAAGAGTTGCCTAGAAAAAAAAATTCTACTTACCTTATAAGGAAAAATAGCCCATATCACTTTAGAAGAGAGTACAAAGTCTTGAGTTGTGTTTTCTGTGTTGTGTGCATTGCTGCTATAAAACTCACCACTGAAAGTCTTCAACTGTCCTTAAAAGACTTCTCTTCATTCAGCTTAACCATTAAGAAAGATCCATTATATTTTGTTGTTCTCTTCTGGAGCTAAAAAAGAGTGATACAATTCACTGGCTGACTTGGCTGAGCCTTATCTGGGGTAACACTTTCTGTGATTTCCTGGCAGCTGGTAGGAGTTGGAGGGAGCTGAAGTTTTGAGTAGCTGGAAAAAACACAAGCTGAAGTCTTTCCAACTAGTAAAGAATTTTCAGAAATCTCATTAAAAACTACCAGTTTTGATATGCAAAGTTATACATCTTAAAAAGAACAAATAAAATGTCCTTCTTTCAGTGTTCTATTATGCCTATGATGTGGGTTTCTGCTTTTTTTAACTGACTGCCTGGCAAGAGCTATTAGGACATATTTATTCCTTAAAAATAAATGAATAATATAACATCTTGAAGGTGGGATTTATGAAGAAGTTTTATTCCTTAGCTATTTGGATTTTAATATTTTGGAATTATTAGTGGACATTCTATTTCTTCTTGAATACGTATTTGTGAAACACTGACAATGCACAGATGAGTCAATGGCCAAATTTTTGTTGGCTTCTAGTTAAAAATATTGGACAGTTAATGAAGGAAACAGGCTTTTTTTCTGTCTGTCATAATCTATTTTATTTTCTACTTTCTATAGCTAAACTAATAGCAGATAGAAGGCTGAATCTTCCAGTAGTCTGATTTATCCAAGTGGGACCATGAAGTATCTATGTACCTTTGATGTAGAGTGAAAGCTGAATCACTGTGAAAAACAGCTCACATTCTGGGGCAAAATCAGTCTCTATGTGCTATCTGGCTTAACTGTTGTCCTGGGGTGACTGGTTGATTATCAGACCTCTTGGAACGAATTTAAAGGTAAATGCTTCCTGTTGGATGGTGTAGATGCAGGAGGGTATAGATGCAGCAGCCCAGGTGTTGCTGGGCTTGTTTGATAAACAGGACTGACTGCCTGACCCACCTCCTACTGCTCTGTGTCCTGCACTGGACCAGGCGTGGTGTGCCTGCCTCTCGGTGAGCAATGGTCATGCTAGTTTGAAAATAAGACAGTGGGAGATTCCAAGGAAGTTTAATAGGAAAATCAAAGGCAGTAAGTACAGAAACACTGGCTTAAACTGGCAGTCAGAATATGATTTGACACCCTGGTTGGTCAGGGTGCTGGTAACAGTCTGATTAAATAGTAGCTGCAGTCCTGTTGGAATGACCTGTTTGGTTTTGTCAAAAGGGTGATCCTGTAGAACAATCTGGTCTTTCTCTCTCGAGGACCAGTAGTGGGTATCGAGCTCTTGTACTTTGGGAATCCAGTGATAGTGCCTCCATCGTGTTCCAAGCCTCAGATTATATCCAGGTAGGAATGTCTGGTTCCTCCCCCTTGGTGGGGCATCTCAGTGCAATGATGTAATTTTGTGGGAGACCTTGATGTCCCATTAGCAGAGATAGCCCAGAGGGAGACCAGGGATGAGTTGTGGAAAAGATAAGGAACCCTGCCCCACCTATTGTAACAGTTTATGAAGATGGTAATAGAATACATAATTTTGAATATATCTTATATTGTAACCTAAGACAATGGTGTATGGAGGGGTCTTCCCCATTGAGCCACATCAGGAAGTTGGCTGCAAAACTGACACAAATTGAATGGTGTTAGAAGTGATAATATTTGCACTTGTAAATTATCTGTTCTTGTTATGCATCTGCTACAAAACCACTAACTTTGGTAGGAACATTTTCAGCAGTTTCAGTGTCCTCAGCTCTGCTCAGCCTTGACAATGCTGAGTCCTTCCAGCTTTTCCAGTGGCTCTGCCCACCAGGTAGATCACAGAACAAAATTTTATTTAGATGCAACCTTTACGTATGTATATACAAAGTATTCTCTGTTCATTTGAGGGTTGAGAGCTGTAAGTTAGTGCATAAATTCAGTGCATAAGAATGGAATGGTTTTGCTGCTTGCAGTGGTGTGTCATGAGGAAATATCAGGTGTTTCAATGATCCTGCACAACTGTTATGTGTGCCTGGGGAGTTCAGTGTTTCATCTGCTCTGTAACCATTTCAAAGCTAGTACTTGAAGTATAAACAAGAAGCCTTTGTTTAATAAAATGAGCTTTAGTTATGGAATATTTAATTTGTTATAAATGCTGAGGAACATGAGTGCTTATTACCACTGTAAAGCCCTTAACAAGTCGTCTGTTGAAACACCACGACTTAACTTCTATCACTAATGAGCCTTCTGGTTTATGCCATTTACGTTCCTTGAGAGTTGAAGTGAAATTTTTGTTAAGCAAATGAATATTTACCAACTTTTTACCTAAAGGCTCCTATTTCTGGTTTTGACTGGAGAAGACACAAGTACAGAATCTGAAACATTGATATGTGTTTACCCTGTGAGATTAATAGCAAAACCAATAAAACATGCAGAGGACTCTTAAGACAGAAATTCCCTGTTGAGGTTGTATCAAAGGCAGGATTTCACTTGGCTTTATTGTGGTGGAATACAATAAAGTACAGAATGTGTAGCACAGAAAGCCTCCCAGAGCAGACTACTTGAATACATATTAAAAATATCATGCTGTTATCAGTGAAGACACCTTTGATTATAATCCAGTATATTAACTTTTCAAAGCTGAAAAAAAAATCTCTAGTTAATCAAATAGTTAAAACTGACTTGAGAACTCCATTAGATTCAACTTATAATGTAGGCACATACTGCAGGGTAGTGGGGAAATTGTCCTGTCATAAGTATCATTTTAAGATGGTGTTGTACAGTGCCCCCAGAATGTACTCTCAGGTACGGTAAAAAGGAAAAATCGTTTGTGGCTTTTCTCTACAAATTATGTACCTGAACTACTCTGCTTTGTTTTTTTCTTCTGAGTTAAATTATACCATTCTTGTCCAGTTCAGCTATTCCAAATTAACACTGTCAATTGAAAGGTCAGCTTGGAAAAGAAATTAAGTGCATTTTTACATGCAATAAGGTTTGTTTACATGCATCTCTATTTCAGCCTGCTTTTGTCCATCTAGTCACAGAATCACAAAATGACCTCAGTTGGAAGTGGCTCACAAGGATCATCAAAGTTCAAGTCCTGGCCCCATATAGGACAGTCCCAAAAATTGCACCATGTGCCCAAGAGTGTTGTCCAAATGCTTCTTGAACTCTGTTGAGCTTGGTGCTGTGACACTTCCCTGGGGAGCCTGTTCCAGTGCCCAGCCACCCTCTGGGTGAAGAACCTTTTCCTATTATCCAACCTAAATCTCCTCTGGATCAGTTTCATGCAATCCCTTAGATCCTCTCACTGGTCACCAGAGAGACTGGAGACCAGCAGAGCACCTGTCATGCTGTTGGTTACTGATCTCATATTGGGGGACTCTGAGAGAGGGGGAATCAACACCTCCACAAACAACTCGGATGCCTAATGTCGTGTGACAGACATGTTGCTATGGTGTGGACAGGAGTGTGGCACACACACAGAGCTGCACATCTGCAGCCCTTCCTTCTGCTCACTGGCAGCCCCCTGGCAGCCAGGGAAGAAAGGATTTAGGAAGAACGGGCTTTATTAAAACATAAGTCTTCCAAGCATCTCTTGTTACTTTAAGGTACTTTCCTCTGGAGAGCCACTGCCGCGTGCTGATCCATCACACAGAACTCCAAAGCCACAGGCAAGGTCTTGGTGCTATCACTATCACACTATCTCAGACTGTGGGATCCAGTCTTCCTCAGGTTCCAAATTCCCAAGTTTGTCCTGGAAAATTCAGTTTGTCCACTGCAGGAGAGAGTGGTGACAGATGTGTGTCAGCTCCCTGTGCTCAGGAGTGCAGCACTGCCTGCTTGCCTCCTGCACTCTGCACAGCTGTGGCAGGTCCATAGCAGTAACCTGGGACTATTACTTTGATTTTGGTGCAAATATAGCAATGCAGCCCAATATTTTCTAGGGATTGTGTTGCCTTCCTGATCCCACAGTGGTGGCATGGTCAGAGGAAGACTGGCACTGCTTAGTGTTAACATTTTCCCTTCTCCATTGCTTTATTTGTCTTAGGCAGTTTGTGCTACAGCACTGTGCTTTACTGCATACAAGTCCTACAGAGATAAATCCAGTACTTCCTACCTGCCCTTCCCAAGGCCCTGCCTCACACTCCAGATCTCAGGATAGCTCTTGGGTCTAATTTGGCCCATGCTGCTCACCCCAGTATCCTGCTTTCAAAACTGCAATGAACAAGTAAGTTGGAAAATATTTTAACCTCTTGCCACTCTCCCAAGCCTCTGGTGAGACTGCAGGGTTGGAATTGTAGAACTGAGGAAGGAAAACATTTTTCATTGTTGCTATGGAGACTTGAGTTTATGTAGCAATGACTTATTCAGTTTTCTCTCTCCTTGATCTTAGGCCAAAAAAAAAAAAAAAAGAAAAGAAAAGGAACATGAAAATATCACAGACAAAACCTCTGGGACATGAGATTTCAATTGGCATGACCTCTCTGCAGTATCGCACAGAAAAACAAAGACGAAAGGAGTGAGAAAAATGTCCTTGTGTGTCAAGAGAGTCTCTTTCTGCAGAAAAGGAACTAGGAGGAAGTTAGAAAAGGAACCAGGACCACAGTGAACATAAACCACTGCTTGCAGTTTCTTTGGAGTATCCAGTGTTCCCTATCCAGAGCCACTGCTCCAGCCCTGCAGTTCATGCAGCCTAGTCATGGTCAGATGCTAAGAGAACAACATAACACTTTTAGCTATAAGACCTACCCACATTTTATCTGTAATATGCATCTTTCATCAACAGGGACATGGGATCTGGGGCTTTACCTCCTCCTAAATGGCTGTGGATGTGGTCTGCCCTTGCTCATCCATCACCTGAAGGAAAATCTGCTGTCGGAACTGTATGGCAGCGCAGTGAGGAAAATCATGTGCCTGTTCCTTATGAGCACACGGTCAGTAAGGGTATGTTGGCAGTATATGAATCCTGTACCAGGCTCTATTGCAGATCAAAGCATGAAGTGTGTCTGATCATATTGCTCCAGTAAATCAACTGTTTCCAGTATTTGAAAGCAGCTCTGAAGTTTCAAAAAATGACACATCGTAAGCATAATAGATTGCCCTTAAAAAACCCCCAACATATCCATACAAAAAAGTGGGACTCTGCCAGGCTAAAGGTATTTTCATGTTGCAGGATTTAAGCCCTGGAGTGGAGACAAAAGGCATCCCCAACACTGTGATCAGGTTTCAGAGCACTGTGCAGAAATACCCCTTTTGGTTTATGAGCACTGAAATCCTGTGCTGAAGGAGCAAAGAAGGTGACAGCCATATGGCCCCTTCTCTGACTCCTCAGATCCATCAGCAGCCTCTTCTGGTTGTCATGACTCAGGTCATAACTGAATCCATGTGCTTTTCCACAGTGATGCATGTGTCAGTTCTGAAACAGCAGCCCAACAAGTGGAAATGCTGCAGGACAAGTAAATCAGGTGGAATTGGCTTCTCCATTTTCTCTTCTTTTTCCACTGTTCAGCTCTGCGAAGCTGCAGCTGGCTCCCAGAGCAAGAAGTGTTTCTCCTGGTTGTTCCTAAACATCTGTATTTGCCTCTAATTAAGAGCAGCCGGTTAACAGAAATGAGATGACAGGGGGCATGTTGCAGGAATTTACTAGTTTGATCCTTAGTGTTGAACTGTTGTAGGAATTTTACCAGGTTATATCAAACCAACCATGGATATCAAACCAAAAGCTCACCAACACCTATCTGTACAGTAAGACAAAACAAGCAAGGAATATCGTCCTGAGTGCCAAGGAGGTGATGCCTTAAGAGGCTACCTAGAACAGAGGCTAGACAGTGTTAAAGGAATAAAGTAAACTTATTGAAAAGGCTTTCAAAGGATACACCTTGGGCAGTACAAGAGCCTGGCCGAGGCTACACCCAAGATGGACCCAAGTCACGAGTTTTCACACTTTTATAAGTTTTGGTCCATTTACACATTGGGGTTAACTGTCCAATTGCAGCTTCAGGTAATGAAGTTCCATCCTCCCAGACTGCTCTCCTCAATTTGCTGCTGTTTATTATACTTTTTGGGTCTGAAGCTGCAATGGTGTCCTTGGTTCTCAGGCTGGAAAGGGATTGTTTTGTCCAACTACCCTGTGAGGAGAACTTGCTAACACTTTATATGAAGTTCAGTTATATACTAATGCGGTACAGAATCTGGATAATATGAAAGCTAAAACTTAAGGCATCAGCTACTTGGAGCTAGGGGCAACCCTGTGAAAGCTATTTCAATGTTATTGACATCCTACAATGCATAAAGTTATTTTGAAACTAATTTTCAGCAAGTTTACAGGCCAAAATACGATTCCTCTCTTCTTAAAAGCTGGATAAATTTAAAAGTTCATGTCAAAATCAGCCTCAAATGGAGAGTAAATTAGCTCCTGACAAAACATCTAGAGAACTAGAAAGGAGATCTTGGGGATTGTTTTAACCCAAGAGTGTCTTCAAATGCTAAGTGCAAATTAAGAAACTGATGCTAGTTTGAAGACAGGTTGGACTTGATGATCTTGAGGTCTTTTCCAACCTTAATGATTCTATGATTCAGCTCTTTATTTTGCTCAGTTTAATTAATTTCTTATTACCATAAGAACTACTTGATTTGATTGAGTTGAAAATTGGAGCAATTTCTTTTCAAGTTGGGGAATAAATACAAAAACTGATGGCAAGGATTCTTAAGACCAGTATAAAAAGTTCCTGTAAGTAACTTGAGAAATTTGAAAATGTGTGGGCTATATGCCACACAATGAAAAAGGCTTAGAAAATTAATAATGTTATTAATTACTCCTGAACAAAATATGAGATACCGGTGAAGCTCTTCATATCACATGACCTTATGTATGATTTATAATCACTTCTGGGTCTCATCTTTACCACATAACTCCTTCTGTTATAACTAACTGATCACTATGCAATTAGTGATGGAATACTCATTTATAAGAGCAAAATTTTGTTTCCCACTCAGAGGTAGCTGAGAAGAGCAATAAACATGAAATATCAATGCTTCCTGTGGGATTAAATTGCTGTTTTCCAATAGCGGCAATGCTTAACAGCTTTCTGCTGCAGCATGGATGTTTCAGAAATGTGAGCCGTGATATACGGCCATGATTAAGTGAAATCACACTTTGTCTTTCATTTGGCTACCCCCTAAATCAGGTAACACTGGGTGTCACATCCTCTGGGGTGCAGAGAAGAATTTGTGCTGGTGGGAGCCAGGGAATGTCCACCTATGGAAAGGGGGGACCCATTCCCCACAGTCCCCAGTCCTGCCTCCTCCCTAGGCAGTGTGGCCAGCTTCAGGGGACTCAGACACCTTCATCCTCTGCATGGTGATGATCAGCTCATCAAACCTCTGAGGGAAATCCTGGCATTGTGTTGCCCATTGCTCTCAGCAGGCTGAGTTTTGGACTGTGAAGGGTTCACTTCTCACCTGTGTAGCACACCAGCAAAACATCTCTGGACTGTGGTGGTGTGCTTACAGCAAACCTTTATCTTCCCTTGTGGAGAAACAAAATGGAAGAAACTGAAAATTGCATCAAACCAAATCTGGTCCCAGATGTGTTTGTTCTTGCTGTGTTTTTTCCAGTCCTGAGGAGGAATTTCTTGATCAGAACTGTTTGCTTTTCAGCTGAGAAAATGGAAAGCCTGGCTTGGAAAAGAGACTTTGCAGGTAAGAAAATCTGCTTGAGGTTTGCAAACCTGGCTATGATTATTGAAATTGATGCTATTTTACTGAAACATCAGAAGCTTTGGGAAGCTCAGGACCCACTGGCCTCTGCAACAGAGGTCTCCTCTGTGCAAATGACCGGGGGCTGCTCTTGTCTCTCCCAGGGATCTGTGTGGATTTTCTGAATTAAATTTAACATACCACAGAGGGGATTAGGAGAGAACCTTTGTACCATCTGTCGTGGACTGCAAGTGAGTCTTTCTAGAAATTACTCAGATGCTGTGTGGACAGGCTGCTTGGATGTGTTTTTTAGCCTCAGGTCACTGCACAGCACCTGGAACACCAACATTTTAAAATGCCCTAAAATGCCCTGTCTTTAAATAAAAGATGTACTTTTAAATAAACGTTGGCAATAAGCCCCAAAATAGGCTGCTTGTTTTATATTTTTTTAGAAATGATACTGACTTCCTGCCAAGTACCAAGTATGCAGCAACATCTGCATAAAAAGCACATCTGCTCAGCAGGGGGAGAGGAGGCAGCCACAGAGGTCACCTTTGGAGGGCTCGGTGAGGGGTGGGGATGAGGAGATGTAAGAGGCAGTGGAGAGTGTGAGGATGCTCTCTGAGCCTTGTGCTGCACCTACGAGTGCCCTGCCCTGTGCTGTCCCTGGTCAGCCTCATTCAGCATGGAGAAGAAGGCTTCCCAAGCCCCAGGATTGCTAGACTCAGATTGCATACAGTGAAAATTCTGAGCTGTCATGGAGACTTGACATGCTGGTGAACACCTTGTCTGAGCAAGATTTTTAGTGTATCATCTTCCCAACTGACGGGACAGGCAGCTCCTCCTAGACTTTGGACCACAGGCCTTCCTAGGCCTTTGGTGTGCACCCTGCTTCCATGGTGCTTGGGAGCAGGGTATGAAACATTGTATAGTACTTGGCATGTTTCTATGAAATATTTATAGAGGTACTATATTCCAGTGAATTTTATTGCTGGCTCATGTAATTCAGATGATACAAAATGCCCTTTCTAATTCACAGAAAATAAATCCATCATCACTGTAGGAATAAGATTTGCAACTGGCAGCATCACTGACTAACTGGAATCCAGAACAAGGAGAAGCATCATTCCCCCAGGAAGCCCCAGATATGAGGGAGGAGGTGGCAAGGTTCACCTGTGTCCATGGAGCCAGGCTCCTGCTTTTTGTGTTAGAGGAGGAGATTTGTCAGCATCTTGGCCTGAGAACCAGCCTGAGTTTCCAGTCAGAGCAGCACAGGCTGTGGTTGAGGAGTAGCATTGCTCATTGTTCACCCTCACACAGTTGGCATAGAAAAATCCCAAACCTACAGACAACTTCACAGTCTCAGGTCCTCTGCTGGAAGACAGAAATTGCAATGATCCATAAGGTCTGTCTAGAAGCAAGAACAATATTTCATTTGGTTAAGGGGAACCTTCCTATTCCCTGAGCACATGCATAAATGCTGGTGCAGAATAAAACCCACCACAAATGAGTTTTCATAAAAAGCAGAAGTGAGATATGAAATTGTGTTCAATATAGTGGTGCTTTTCTTTTTCCACTGCAGGATGGACTCCAAGGGATGCAAGACAGAAAAGCTTGAAATTAAAGTCTTCCTTTTCCATGAAGTTTTATTATAGTTCTTCCTTTGTCTTCCCTTATTTTTGTCTTGAAAGCAACTTGTCTCACCGGAGTGCCTGGCTCTGGCAGCCCCATCCCACAAGAAAAATAGGTGGTGGCAGGTCAGTTCTCCTTGCTGCTCAGCCTTGCCCTGCTCCCAGGACACAGCTCTGGGCCACAGCTGACTTTGGGGGAGATATTGGAGTAAAAGAGACATGAGCCAAGAGTGGCAAGAATTGGTTTCATTTGTTTTATATTTTCTGCTTTTTTTTCCCTGAGGTTTTTTTTTCAGAGTAAAAGTGGACTAAGGGATTAGATAAAGAAGAACTGAATGAAGGGGGCTTAGATCAGTGGCGATGAAGGAAAAAAGAGCTGGAAAAATAAAACACATACTTTGTCACAGGAGTTCCACACCCACTTTGTGGCCAGCGGTCTGCTGGATCCACCAGAGACCGTAATACTCCAGGCCACTGGGTTATCCAGGAGCAAAGCTGTCTTTTTGCAGGAAAGCCACCTTCTGTGTTGCAATTGTCCTGCTTTGGAGTGTAAGTTCAGCCTTGGTGAAACCAAACACTCAGTGGCTGAACTGGTTTTCTGCATCTCAAACTTGCAGACTGGAAAACATCACCATTTCCGCCTCTCCATGCTCATCCGAGTTTTCTCAGCTGTTAGCAGGACAAACTCCTAAGTGGTATTTCTGTTTAGAAGGCTACTTAGAAACAGACATGCAATAATTTCAGGAGCATCCTTATTTTAATGTAGCCTTATATGAATTTGTCTTCAAATCCTTTGGATGGCTAATTCCTCATTGCACATGATGATTCATCATTAAAATAATAATCACCTTACTGGCTGCATAGTGTTTAATCTTTCAGCAAATAAAGAAGTGATTGAGACTTGTTCCTATCACACCAGAACAAGTTTGTTCAGAATAAGAAAATAATTATGTTATTTTTGTACAAATTGGTATAATGAGCTGTCTCTGTGCTATTATCTCTGAGCATTAACTGGCTCTATTATGCAGGATAATACTCAGAATAATTATTACTTATCTGCGTGTACATACACTGAATAATAAAATAATTAGACCTTTTAAAACAGAGGATAGAAAAGATTCCATTTTCCATAATTCTGACTTTCTGATTATAAGGTTGGAATAAAATATGTGATATTTCATCAGTGTGTCAAGCCACTAAATGCTGGATTTCTAGAAATCAGTGCAGGCTTTTGCATAAGGTATGTATTTTGTCAGTCTAGACTGAGCAGAGATTTACATAAGGATGTGAAGGATCTGGGCTGTTGAAATTCAGAGATGGATAAGCCTGCTGAGCACAGCAAGTGCTTTGTAGGAGTGGTGCTACTGCTGTGTGCAACTGTGCTTTGGTGCAGGGGCTTGTGGTGCCTGTCCCATGGGAGCCTGCACATCTGGAGCGCAGGGAGGGGGAGCTGGGCTCCTGCACCTGTGGAAGCTCATCTCTTCTCCTGGTGGAGGCTGCTTCTTTCCCTCCCAGCTGTCCGAATTCCTCATGAGCTGGAGTGAGCACTGGCAGCTCAGGCTGGTCTCGTGCAGAGCTGACCCAGCCATTGCACCCCAGAAAAGTTGTCTGGGCTCTCGGGCAGTGTGAGCACCCTGGATTCCCCTAAAAGAATGCCCTGCTATGGCAGGTTACCTAGGGAGCCAGCACGTGCTCAGACTGACAGAGTCTCCCGTCTGTCTGATGGGGCAGCTTCTGCTTCGTGTGCTGGGAAGGCAAAAGTGATTATAATGGTAAATGCGGTGATGTCTTACTGTACAAAAAGGTAAAATGCTCCAGCCCTGGTATTTTTTTGGGCATATCTGAAAGACACATGTCCTTCAGAAATGGAATCATAGAATCATAAAATAGTTTAGGTTGGAAAAGACCTTGAAGACCATGTCTGTAAGTATCACATCTGTACATCCTTTAAATACTCACAGGATGGCGACTGCACCACTTCCCTGGTCAGGCTGCTCCAGTGTTTAACACTTCCCAGGAAGAATTTTTTTCATAATATCTCATCTAAACATCCCTTGGTGGAACCTGATGCCATTTCCTCTCATCCTGTTGCTTGGTACTTGAGAGAATGGACTGACCTCCAGCTCACTACAACCTCCTTTAGTTGTAGAGAGCGACAAGGTGTCCCCAGGGACATCCCTGCTCTCCCCAGGAGAAGGGTGGGGAGCCTGGATGCAACCCCCGATGGCTGCCAGCAGGGAGCAGGATCTTTAGGGTGGTGTAAGGTAGACCTCTCCTGCCCCAAAAGGCTCTTCAGAGCCAGGAGACAATTATACACTTAGGGATCAGCTTTGAATGTGATTGCGAAGCAGACAGATCCCAGGGATCATCAAAATCTTCTTATTGTACTGGTCCAAATGAAATGGAATCAATGGGAGATGGCAACTGCAGAGAGCAGCAAATTCAAATGTTAAGTTGGGGCGATGAGCAGTGCTCTGAGCTTCACATTTTTGGATGTTGCTCATTATTTTTAGAAATTGCATTTCTGTATATCATGCACCCAGTTCTGTTGCCTTCACTCACAGTTCATGCCAGGCTGGTTGTGCACTCATTCTTGGTCTGGGATTGAATTTACTTCATTTGCCATCTCAAGAGCATGACCTTCTGACTTGGACATACGCTACACAGTGGTCCTGAGGAATGGCAGTGGGTGTTATCCACTTATTGGTGGATAACTATTTAAGGGGAATTTGCTTGGCTGCTTGTTTTTTTAGGACACCTCAGGAATAACTGAACTGTGTCAGATAATGAAGAGAAACCAATTCATCTCCTACTCTCTTGCAAATCCCAGACACTGAGTTAATCACAAAAATGATTAGGAATTCGAAGCAGACTGGTGGAACATTTTAATTCTGTTTGTTGAGAGCTGTAAACATAATTGATTTACATTTCTCTGCAATAAGTTAATTTGAGAGAGTGCTCCCAATGTGAATAATATCAGATTCAAGGCTGTATGGCTTCCAAATCTCAGTGGCTCCACTGGAGAAAATACAGATCACTCCTTGCTGCAAAGGATAAAAAGGATAAAGACTAATGACTGGTAAATGTTGGCTTCCTGTAAACAGAAAATTACCAAATCTGATAAATGCAATACATTAGCACTGTTACACAAGAAGCAACATGCTCTCCATTATCCCTGATAAGTTAATGGATCAGTGCTGAAATTTAAAAAAATAAATTAAAGAGAATCTTATTGGATGCAAAGTCTCCGCTATCCAGAGTTGTTCTGGGTTTTAAAACAAATTGTTTCCTGGAAATACTACAATTAACTGAAGGTATGATGTATGAAACATTTTTCCATCACAAAATGTAGATTGCCTGAAGATGAAGATCCCTACAGAAGGGCATCCCTTGAGATAGAATCTTTTGCTTTAATTGTGGTGAGTCAGAGAGAGGGAGGGAGTGGGCTGAACATGGAAATGCAGCAGACCCAGATTCAAACTCCTGCTGATGCTGCAAATGTTAATCTTTACTGACTTGTCTAAAGACAATAGTTTTTTTGTTTTTTTTCTTTTAACTTTTCTTTTACCAGGAAAATCTTTGTAATTTTTTTGCATGGAACCAGATCTTACCTGATTTTGGTTTTGTCTAAGTGAAAGAGAATTCTTATATCCTGGAGAGCTCTGTGGTCCTACCAAGTAGGCAGGACAAACACAGACACCGTGAAAAATTGCATACTATTCCTGTTTCTACAGCAAAGTGAAGCGATTCAGAAAACAGAAAGGCTCAGTATTCAGCTCAATCAAAAAGTCACTAAAAATTCCATAACTAGTAAAAAAGAAACCCCAAGCCCTGCAACAAATGGGGACAAAAGCCCCCTTATCAGCACGATGAAGGCAATTGGGTGAAAAGAGCAAAGGAGGCCTTGGTCACAGTGGAAATGAGTTAATTAAATAATGCCTTAAAGCATTTCAGTAAATATTAGTAACTGCCAATATGGAAAAAGTTTCCTTCTGACACAGCCTAATCACAGTGATAGGCAAAATAATTCCCCTTCTTAATGTGATTAATGCAGGGCAAGGTTTGTTATGTGTTTTTGCAGGCATGGCTTGCACTAATGACATGGATGTTGCAGATGGCTCTGCCCTTGCCAACACTCATTTTCACAGCTCCTTGTTGGCACAGCTCTCCCAGAAGCTGGGCTGGAGCACTGAGCCTTGCTCACCTGTTCAGGTGAACTCCTTCAGTGCAGGATGCTTGAGGTCCCTGACCTGTCCTGCTAGGGAAAAAACTTTGTTGTCACCTCTTGGTAAAACACATGAGGAATTTTTCTAGCATCAAAATTGAAAATATTTGTAATGTTTGATAACAGCTTCTTGTAGATACCACTGCAAAAGCAGTTCACCCACATATACATTTTATATATCCCTAGTAATCCTAACCCTTTCAGAGTTCAAATTTACATCCAAATCCCTTTGCTAGCAACTGAACTAAAAAAATGAATTTTTAATGAGGTTATTATGGAGGCGCAATTAACTGTCACTGTAAACCTGAGTCTTTCTGGTCTCTGAAAAGAAAGAAAATAGTAATTTTCAAATGGATCTAAAAATTCTGCTGCATCAGTAGAAAAGACAGGCTGGATATTTTCTGCCCCATCCAGTGAATCCTAGGGATGCCACTGTGGCTCCTACTGTGCTGTTAGGATGCAAAGGACAGAAGGTGCTGGGATAGGTGCTTGAGGAGTGGGCAGGTGTCTTACCTCCTTCTCCTCTGCCAAAGCTCCAGTGAGAAGGATGCTAAGATCTCCAACTGTCAGTCTTTCTAGACATGGAAAACACTATTTACTTCTTAGCTCAGGGGTCCTGGGCAAGACACCCAGAAACACCCAACTGTGGGCTGTCACGAGAGTGAATGAATATTAGAAGTTTGCTGGGAAGTGCAGTTAACATTTATGAAGTGCTAACATTTTGTTAAGTTACAAAAGAAGAAGAAAACCTTATGCTGTGAAATTGTACCCAAAGTCAGTAGTGTCT